CGGCTGGAAGAGCTCTGTGAGGACAGCCTTGACAGGAGGTCCCCATGCTTGGGGTGGGTGCCTGCGGACCTGTCCCTGTGCAGGTCACTCTCTGGCACGTGGAGAGCCAGCCAGCACCCCACCCACTGTCTTCTGACTTGGCCGGGAGGGCAGCATGGGCTCCTGACGTGACCGGGCTTGGAGAGCTGGATTTGACCCGGAGGCGAAGGTGCCTTCTCTACAGAACTGTGGCACTCGGGCTGTGACCGTTACAGCTGGCCGGCTCTGCGGAGGGCAGGTGGTCACTCACACCTTGCTCCAGTGTGCAGCGCGTGTGCCTCGCCCAGGCCCCTGTCGGGCCGGTGGCACCGTCCATCCGCTGGGCTGGGCCCTCTGAGGCCAGCAGCTGTCCTGACCGCTCTCCCCTCCCCGGGTGCCCACGTGCCTAGAAGCACCTGGAGGTGGCAGGTGCTTGGAAAGCATCGCTGGCGTTCGTGGGAGTAGCCCTCGTTCACCAAAGGAGGGTAAAGTCTGCTTCTGTGAAGTCTCAAGGAGAGGGCGAACTGTTTACTCCAATCCACGGTTTTCTAGCCGCTGGAGAAGGCAGGCCCGGTGCTTTCCATTGTGAGTATTCAGGGAGAGACGGGGTGGCCCTCCCCTCAGCCAAGGGGACTGCGCTGCCACCGGGCTCTTCCTGCTCACCGAGACAGGGCTTCGGCTTAACTGCCACTGACGCAGAGCTCCCCTTCCTCCTCCAGCGGCTCCTCACCCGGGGGCTCGGCCGTGTCGCCTCCCGACAACTCTGCCCAAAGATGCCGCCGTCTTGCGGTCACAGCCCTGGCCCCCTTCCTGCATAGCTGCCGCTACCCGCACCTCCCCGTGGTGCGCGTCCCCTCCCTCAGCTCTCCTCACCCCGCCGCTCATATGCAGTGGCCACTTACCAAACACGCTGTGGCTGGGTTGCAGCGTGTGGGGTGAAGTGCCACGGGCTATGATTTCCTTTTGTTCCCCAGTTCTCCACTCACGTGGGGGCGCCCTGGGCTTGCCTTTGGCTGGGAATCGTACACTCTGACCTTCTCGGGTCCCAAAGCTGCCAAAGCTCTCGGTGTGGGGCCTCCGTGTGCGTGGCGGGCAGGGTAGTGGCAGAGACCTGAGCTGCTGAGGGCATGGCTGGGCTGGCGCCCTCCCTCCCCTGCTCACACACTCTGGGCATTAGCCTCCTGGCCACCAGCATTCGAACGTGTGCCTTGCTGAGGTCGCAAATGACCACGTGCCGTGGAAGTTCAGGAGCACTTAGGAATAGTCAAAGCTTTTAATTAGTTAACCCAAGACTGTAAGAATTAGCTAAATATGCATCGAATGTGTGGGGATGATGGCTGTTTGAGCTCTCAGCCGTAGAAGGGACAAGACGTCTGGAAGGGAGGCCAGCAGGTGGCGTATTGGCTATGGTGCTGGACTCCCACATGGTCAGTCACAGTTCAAGTCCTGGACCTGGAGACTTGAAACTCATGCAGGGTGGGACCAGCAGTTGACGTAATGGCTGTGGACGCGGGTTCCCTGGTAACAACCCGCACTCCCATGTAACCAACCGCAGTTCAAGTCCCAGATTCTGTGGCTTAAACTCATGCCGGGCGTGTGTGCATGCATGCCCAAGATCCCAAGAGGAAAATAAAGAAGAGATTGTGGTGTGGCCATTCTCCCTGGGGGGATGATTTCTCGCTTTCTATCTCTCTGTCTCTCTCTGTCTTTCTGGTGAGTGCATGTGCCCTATAGCAAAAACCTCTCCAAAAATAAAAATGAAGAGAAAAAAGAAATTCATGCTGGGCACATGTGTATGCGTGCCCCAAGTCCTGAGAGGAGAATGGAGGAGAAGGGGTTGCGGCATGCCCATCCCCCCGGGGGGTGATTTCTCACTTTCCATCTGCGTCTCTGGTGCACATGCCCTAGAACAAAAATCTCTGCAGAAATCAAAGAAGTCAGGAAGGGCAGCCCCGTGAATAGTGACTCATGCTACACGGGGTAGGGGTGGGGGGGCATCCTACATGGCCTACCAGGGTTTGGGTCCCAGCCCTGGCTTCCTGAATGTCGCATTGGGTGGGACCAGCAGGTGGTGTAATGGTTACATCACTGGACTCCCACATAGTCGACCACGATTCAAGTTTCGAACCCAGTGGCTTAAAACTCACACCGAGAGCTTATGTGTCCCTGCGTGCCCAAACTCCTGAGAGGAAAATGGAGAGGGGCTTGCGGCATGGCCATCCCTCTGGGGGTGATTTCTCGCTTTCTTTTTCACTGTCTCTCCGCTGAGTGCTCTCCCTACAGCAAAATTCTGTCTCTTAAAAGAAATCATGCTAGTGTGTGCACGTGTGTGTGTGTGCATGTGTGCACGTGTGCGTGTGAGCCCTAACAGGAAGGAGAGCTAGAGGAGGGGTTGTGGTGGGACCAGACCTGCTGGGAGTAACGCTCTTTCTCTCCTCTCTCTTCCACACACCTTCTGGCATAAGAAAACAGGGAGGGGAACCAAAAAAAGGAAAGAAAACTAGGGGGATGGGCATTAGCCTTGCACCCCGTATTCTGAAGAACTTACCTCCAGAGTTGGACTGGGGCTGTCCTTGGGCGCCCCCAGTCTTCTCTCTGCCTGGTGCTGCTGCGTGGGCAGGGCTGGCTGTCAGTGGGTAGAGGCCTTTCTTTGTGGAGACACAAGACCTAGAACCCTCACTGAGTGGAATGTCCTTTTGGTGAGGCAGGACCAGGGGAGGGTCTTGAATCAGCCTGAGTTCCTGACGCCTGGCCCTACAGCCCTCCCAGACCCCACACTCGTACCCCAAAAGTACTTGCCACTACTCCTAGAATTTCTTTACCTCTTGAGCAGCAAACCTGCCGGGGGCAGAGCAGCAGGTGGGTCTGGCGGAGGAAGCCGTCTGTGGGGAGGAGAAGCTCCCTGGGCTTCCTCGCCTCTGGACCTGGGGATGATCCTGAACGCCCCGATGAAGTGCTGCGAGCCAGCACAGCCCCAGCTCTGCTCAGCTCAGAGGGGCCACTCCTGTGCTCCCCTCCCTGGCAGAGATGGTGCTGGGCGTGAGGCGGGGCAGTGACCGAGGTCCTGCTGCCCGCTCCCTTCCCAGCCTCACTTCTGGCTGCTCCCTGTTCCACGAGGCCAGGAGCGATCCCAGAGCACGCGCCCTGCAGGGACGGGACGTTGTGGTTTCAGAGTAGAGCACACCAAGAGGGAGGTGGCAGGGACGGTGCCGAGGAAGCCCTTGTGCCTGGTTCCCGTCCAAGTGGGGACAGGGGACGAAGTCGGCTCCAGCACAGCTGAGCGTGGCTGTGGGCAAGGGGCACTCTGTGCTGGCTTAGGCCACGGCCTCGGGGGCTGCACCTCCGCTGCCTCGGCCATGTGCCAGCGCCGTGTGAGCGGCCCCGGGCTCCTTCAAGGCCAGGTCACGCTCTGTCTCAGCCCAGACGCCAGCAGTCCACAGCTGCCCTGAAGGATGCGGGAGCAAAATTACACGTGCGTTTGCCTAACGATGTCCCTGACTGCCGTAATCGAGGCCCAGGCAACCAGGCGGCCATGATTTCGATTGGTCCGATTCGTGAGATAGGCTCACATAGCGGCGTGCATGCCGTGGGCAGGCCCCAGAGAGCCCGTCAGAGAAGGTCTGGCTGAAGCCTATCTGGTGTAGCCTTGTTATTTTTTATTTTTTAAGTATTTTTTTGTTTGGGGTTTTTGTCAGAGTATGTACACTTGCCAGGGAGAGAGAAAGAGTAAGTGAGAAATCGTCCCCCAGGGGATGGCCGCACCGCGGTTCCTCCTCCATTCTCCTCTTGGGATTCTGGGCATGCACACAGCCTGATGTGACCTTCGAGCTGCCAGGTGCAGGTCTCAAACTGCTGTGGACCATGTGGGAGCCAGCACCTTGACCTCCACGTCTCCGGCTGGTCCCCAGTTGAACCTATTTGAACATGTCCTCAGAGGCATGAAGAGTCTTGAACAGCTCGCGTTATTAATGATGTAGCCACTCAGCACCGTTCGCGAGAGTTGAAGGCGAAACAGAAATGGAAGCGGTCCGTGTGTGCAGCCAGTGGCAAAGTCGGGTGGTCTGTGGGGGAAGCTCCCGCGTTAGGCGGTCTGAGTTAGCTAGGTTAGTCAGAACGCCACCCGCCTCCACATTTCCCTTCTCAGCATATGAAGCAGCGCTCTCTTCCCCCTCTCTCCTCAATCTATGAAGAAAAACAAGTCGCCCCGCAGTTTAGAGCAGGCGTTCAAAGCCCGCGGTGCTGTGGAGGTTAAGGGTCTGGATCTCATGTGACTGACTGCATGGTTCTGGTCCCAGACCTGGAGGTTTGAAAGGGTGCCAGGTGCATGCGCGTGCATACTCCAGATCCCGAGAGAATGGAGGAGGGATTGAGGCATGGCCACTCCCCCAGGGGTGGTTTCTTACTTTTGCTCTCTCTGGCAAGGGTGCATGCCTTATAACAAAAACTATTAATACCAAAAAGAAAAAGATAGGCGTGCACGGTCCCGGCTTGCTTGATGAGTGTGAGCTTGCTAAGATGAGTGTGAGCTCCTCGGGAGCTTTCGTACTTGGGACGGAGCAATCGCTGGGAGCCTTCTGCAGCAGTGTGAAACCTGCAGACTCCGGAAAGGGGAGCGTCGCCTGGAAGCAAAGAATTTATCCTGCGATTAGTCGGACTCAAGAGAAGCCTTCTGGGAAAGGGCTCCCGGAAATTGCAGTGTCGTACAGGGGCTTATTTCCGCCTCCTGGGGCCTGTCTGGTACCGGCCACCCTCTGACTCGTCTGGAATTGGCTGCGTGGACAGACCTCCACTCCAGCTCGAGCCTTCCAGCGTCTGCAGCTGAGTGTCGCCTTCTCCAGGGCGAGCAGGTGTTTTACAGCAAGTCCCTTGGCCACTCTGGGTGGGGACAGGTGTGTCCTGACACACTGACCGATGCTCCGCGTGGGACGACGGCACCTGTGCTGTGCCTGGCCGACTGACGCTCTGGTTTTGTTTCTGTTTAGATGAGTTCTGGTTCTCCGACGGGTCCTTATCAGATAAGTCCAAGTGTGCAGACCCTGGCCTGATGCCCCTCCCGGACACAGCCACGGGGCTGGACTGGTCCCATCTCGTGGACGCGGCTCGGGCGTTTGAAGGTAAAGACTCGCCCTCCTCCAGGCCTCACCCCTCCTGGGCACGCTTTCCTGTGAGCCCGAGGCAGCTCAGGGCACGTGGCTGTGCCTCAGACTGGACTGTCTGGGGAAGGACTAGGGTGCCGGTCCGTGTTCGATGGTGGAAACAAGCAGACCAAGTTTGGGCTCTGGCCCGAGACCGTCTCGGGGAGACTGTCACGCAGCAGCACGCGGCACTGCACCCCCGAACCGGCACTGGTTCAGGCACTGGCGGTAACCTGGGAGGCCACGTCCTCTTTGACCCGTTCTCTTCTCTGAAAAGAGGAGGGGGTTATAGGACCCTCACGTGACTTTCCCTGGGGTAAGGAGTTGGGGCAGGAGGAGACTCTTGCGGTCAGGGCCGTGGGTTCGCAGGATAGGGAGTGGGGTCTCTGTCACCACAGCTCCGCACACCTGCCCACTCGGAGTGCTGCCTGGTGAGACCCCTGCCTCAGAGAAGGCGGGCGGCCCGACCGGTGAGGCCCCCCAGCTGCCGTGCTCTTGCTGACCCTCGGCATGTTGCGTAGCCCCCCAGCGAGCCTCCTCCCGCTCACAGGGAAGGGCAGGGCCCAGGAAGACACTCTTCACTCGTCCTCAGCCTTTAGGGTCACCAGCAGCCTGGACCGTGGCCCTGTGGCTTGCCATTCACCCCTGCGTTCTTTCAGCGTCCTCAGGCTGACTGTGGTGTCGCCAGCTGGGATGGCCGAGGAGGCCGAGGGGCAGGGCCGTCTCAGTCCTCCACCCTCGGAGGGGCCTGTGCACCCGCGTCACTGCCGCCTCCTCCCCCCTCCCCCCAAGGTCTTCTCTTCTCTCATTCTCTTTATTTAAGTCTGTTTGTTTTCTCCATGAGTGAGAAACGCACCCAGTAATGACTTCCATATCCCCCTCCTCTCCCAGCCACGGGCAGCCCCGGATCAAGGTCATGTGTACCCAGCTTACTCAGGGAGGTCCCAGGCCCTGAGGGGCAGGGGCAGCATCACAGGGCATCTCGTCCACTGTGACCCCCACCTTGCTCCTCCCCACGCCCCTGCCAACTGCCCAGCTAGTGGCTGGTAGCTCGGCCCCTGCTCTGAGGCGTCGGGCCTTGGGGACACAATCAGGTTGTTACCCTGGGGCAGGTGCACTTCGAGTTTGAGCAGGGGTGAGTGTGCGGCTTTAACAGCCCGACCTCGGCAAGTTTGACGCCAGAGCGGCCCCACGGCGGCTTTGCTCCTTGGCTGGCATCGGGGCCTCTGGCCCTGAGCATCTGGGGCATGAGTTGAAACCCATTCACCAGGACAGTGGGGCCAGGACCTGCTGGGGGGCCTTTGAATATGAACGTGCTCTCCCTGTTCTCCGGGTGGAAGGTGAGAGGCTGTTCTAGGGTTCCCTGACTTACAAAGCACTTACTCCGGGGCAGCACACTCCATGTGCTTCGAGTGAGGCCCACATACCTCCTCACAATATTTAGAAGTCAGCTAAATATTGCAAACACTCAGGGCCCACGGCCCCCCATGCTTCCACCACGGGCCTGGAAGTCTACCTCGGTCCAGAGCCACCCAGGTGGCAGGTGACAGGTGGCAGCCTTCTGTCTGTGTGCTCTGTGTAGACGCTCCCACTCTGACGAGCTCTCACTGCCCCAGGAGAGTCCTGCTTAAAGACACAGCACCCCGAATTCCGCTCTGCTCACAGGTCTGACTCTTCTCATTAGGTGAGGAGATTGTCAAGGGAAGGCTGTTATTTTATTTATCTTATCTTTATTTATCAAGTACACATGAAAATAAGCAAATGGGAGGGCGAGCACGGGAGAGAGCAGATGACGTCGACCGATCTGTGCAGACCAGAGGCCTTGGTTTCGACCTTGGGGTCCTCTCGCGTTTTTCATTTCAGATTTGAGGGTACTCGCTATCCTGTCTCTGCACCCACTCTCATTACTGACTGCTCACTTCCCTTCGCCCCTCTCCATCATCCTTTGGGATGAACCACTGCTAGAAAATGAATCTCTCTCTCTTTTTTTTTAAAGATTTTTTGCCATGGGGTGCACGTACTTGCGGGAGAGACAGAGAGAGGGAGAGTGAGAAATCACTCCTCAGGAGGGGTAGCCAAGCTGTAGTCCCTTCTCTGGTGTTCTCCTTTCAGGACTTGGGGCATGCACACACACACACCCAGAGTGAATTTCAAGCTGCTGAGTGCAAGACTCAAACTGCAGAGTCCAGCACCTTAACCACCGTGTCATATGCTGACTCCACAAAATGGATTTTTTTCAGGGAGGTAGGGCCAGCAGGAATGGCATGGCAGTGACTGGTGGCTTTTCAGCCAGGGAATCAGCTCTCCTGCTGGGCCAGGCCCTTCACAAACACTGACTAGGAGGCTCCGGTCAACTGCTGCGGGCCTCGTCTCCTCAGCCGTAAGACGTAGAACCTGCGGGCCTCCGCCGGCCCGACACCTGCAGTGCTGTGGTTCTGTATATCAGACGCTGCTTCTGAGCTGAAGGAACAGGAGGGGGCACCCGCACACTCAGATCATAAAAAGGGTACCTGTGGTTGGAAGTCCCGGGTGGCCAGAGCCACCAAGGAGAAGGACGTGGGATTCCATGTGCCAGCGAGGAGGATTTTGGCTATCTGACCTTTACCATATACAGGAAAAGTAACATGCAGAGAGTTTCAGTCTTTTTTTTTTTTTACACCTGGTGACACCTTAAGAAAGGGTTGAGGTGCATGGGTCATGCCGATGGAATGACAGGACCCGGTAGCGCGAAACTGATCCGCATGTCAGTGACTCATAAATTCTGCCACCACGCTCCCCACTGCATAGTCCCCCTGCGATATTGTGCTGAGAATCCCAAAAAGGGGGAGCAGTGAGGACACAGAGAGAACCAGTCATGTAGGAATCCTGGGCAGCTGATGTCACCACCTAAGTGGAGCCCTGCCCATGGCATGGCTCCCCAGTTGGCTGACCATCTTCCTCCAATAAGCCAGGTAGCCCCCTTTCACCAGGCAAGCATTCCTCAAAGAAAGCCCATTTTCTTCTTCTTCTTCTTCTCCTCCTCCTCCTCCTCCTCCTCCTCCTTCTCCTCCTCCTCTTCTTCTTCTTCTTCTTCGAGAGGTTTTTGCTATAGGGCGCGTGCACTCACGAGACAGAGAGACAGAAAGCGAGAAATCACCCCCCAGGGGAGATGGTCACGCCGCAATCCCTTCTCCTCCATTCTCCTCCATTCTCTTCTCGAGATCTTGGGCACGCACGCACATGCGCCCGGCGTGAGTTTTAAGCCACTGGGACCGGGACACGAACCACGGTCGACTACGTGGGAGTCCAGTGACATAGCCATTATACTAACTGCTGGTTCCCAGTTTCAGTCATTTTTGATACTGCTTTGTCAGGTTGCATCCCATCCCAAGACACCAGCCAGCTCGTGAAAATTCATCTGCAAACCTGCACCTCCAGTCCTGTGGGTGGATTCTCTTGTATCAGTGTCTTTTCAGGTCACCTGCCCACGATCGGCTCGGTGAGCTCCCCCACTCTAACATGGAGTGCAGGGTGGCAATGGGGTGCAGCTGGCCTCCTCAGCCACTCAGAGGAATGTCTTAGTAACCCAGTTGCCCTGCCCGTGACTCAATCTCTCCAAACCTGTTCTCAGAGCCCTTTCTGAGTGAGGGGAGAACTTTGTAGTGAAAAGATATTCCCAAAATGCCTGTGTCTGTTTATTTCCTTGTTAAACTAATAGAGGTGTTCAAAATGTCTTCCTGAGGTCCAGTCCTCTGGAATTAGCCTGTGCCCTGCTTCGACGTAGGTCATCAGCACATTTGAACAAGCAGACTTGCCCAGGGATGTGTCTGCCTGTGGATGGAGATACCATGAGCTCTCCAGGCCCGGGGGTGTCGCTGGCCCCCACTTTTGCTCCCCCTGGCCTCCTTCCTTGTGCTGCACGTCCCTGCAGGTGCCAGGTCCCTTAAGAGCCACACTGACAGTGCACACAGGAGTTGCAGGGTTGTTAAGTCATCAAAAAAGTCATGGCACATTTTTGTGTAAAAAAAAAAAAAACTGGGAGGGACCAGAAGTTGGCATAATGGCTATGTCACTGGACTCCCGTGTAGTCAACCGTGGTTCGAGTCCTGGACCCGGTGACTTAAACTCACACCGGGCACAGGTGCGTGCATGCCCCAGATCTGAGAGGAGAATGGAGGAGAAGGGATTGCAGCATGGCCATCCCCCCTGGGGGGTGATTTCTCGCTTTCTGTCTCTCTCTGTCTTTCAAGTGAGTGTATACACCCTTTAGCAAAAAACTCTCTGGGAACCAGCAGTTAGCGTAATGGCTATGTTGCTGGACTCCCACGTAGTCGACCGCGGTTCACGTCCTGGACCCAGTGGCTTAGAACTCACGCCGGGCGCGTGTGCGTGCGTGCCCAAGATCCCGAGAGGAGAATGGAGGAGAAGGGATTGCGGCGTGACCATCCCCCCTGGGGGGTGATTTCTCGCTTTCTGTCTCTCTGTCTCTCTCTGTCTGTCTGGCGAGCGCACGCGCCCTATAGCAAAAACCTCTCTCCAAACCCCCCCCCAAAAAAAAAGATTATAGGCATGCTTCGATATCTAGAAAATAGGAAAGCTTATAAAGAAATTATTAGGGATTATAAAATAGTTAAAGTAACTAGATAAACTATTTTAAGATGTATTACATATTTTATAAGCCTCGTTTCAAATTGCTATGAATTTTTTTAGTTATCTTTCTCTGTATTACAAACCACCCCAAAATTAATGGCTGAAAACAACAGTTTGTTTCTCATGATTCTTTGGGTTAGCTGGGCTCAGCTGGGTGGTTCTTCTGCTCTGTATGGTTTCAGCAGCTGGAACTCGGCTCAGACTGCAGCACTCGGGTGACTTCACTCACAGGTCTGCATCTGCAGTGGCTGGGTCCAGCTGGACTCCTGTCTCTATCAGGGTAATTGTACTTCTTCAGACAGAGCTCGAGCAATCAGGAGAGCAAAAGCAGAAGCTTGTGGTCTCCTTAGGCCTCATCCTAGAAGTCCCAGGACATTATACCTACCACATTCTATTGGTCAAAGCAAGTTATGAGGCCAGTCAGATTCCAGGGAAGGGGCAGAGACTAGGGCTGGTGACTGTGTGGGAGCCGTCTTCTACGGAGCAGTCGTAAAAGACAACGCTAGCTATACCAGCAAGGTGAAGTTATACATCCATTGGGGATTAAGCCATCCTTGGAATTATAAAGAAAGCAATCCGAGGAATGCCCTGATACCTGAAAGGTCCTAATACATGTAAGGCTAGTATGGAGAGAGAGCTTTAGTAGAGATGGCTTCTTCCTGAATTATTTGTAGACTTAGTACAGTTTCAATGCAAATATATAAAGGAGATATATATGTTTGAAATAAACTTGGGTTAAAAGAACTTAATTACATCTGATTGGAAAATAGATAATGTGCAATCAAAAATCTATTATGTCAATAATATGTCAACACAGTAATGATTGTGTTCTTTTGAGGAAAAACAAAGAGCCAGATAGAACTCTGAATATAGTCAAGAGTTCCAGGGGAAGGAATTTCTGTGCTTCACTTGGATTTAGGAATTACAACAGTCAATTTTAGAAAAACCTAAAGAGAGAGCGATTATCATTCGGAAGTGCTATAATTACGGAGTAGTGAGAGAACACGCAGATTGCAATATGGCCAGATAAAAGAATCCAGATGTTAGGCCTCTTATGAGCCTGGGAGAGAATATTAAAATAGAAAGGGAGAGGTTTGTAGCACACGCGAGAGGTGAAGCGGCGTGTCGACGTACAGAAAGAGGCTGTCCCAGCATGAGGTACCATATCCGTGGAGAACAGGCGTCCCGACACGTGGACGCGCAGCCCTGCCTCGGGAGGGCTGATTTAGGGGATGATGGGCCGGCAGCTGACACCTTTGGATGTGGGGAAGCATGCGACAGTTCTGGGTCGCCACCACCAATACCGTAGCGGGTATGAAGGTGAAGATGACGAAGCCGACCGTCTTTTTGTTGAAGCAGTAGGATGATACGTAGCTCGAGCCAGAAAACCATACCTGCCCTGAGACCAGAAACCTATTCAAAAGAATTGAGAAGTTCCCAATAGAAAAACATTATGCAGCATTATTAACACTAACCAATAAGCAAACAGATAACCAAACCTACTAAAAGGGAAGAAAAACTAGATGTCAGAAATCCTGGGAAGTCCTTTCTGGGTCCATGAGGCAGCGTGTGCCCCCGCCGCTGTCAGCCCAGCTCTCCTCGCTCCCCGAGGCCATGACAGGCAAGTTAGGGAATCTCACTGAGTCACGTTTCAGACCATACGTCTGACGAGGCCGAGACCTGCCCTGTGCATGTCGGAATCCCAGGTGAGATCAGCACTTCTGGCCCAGTGAGGTGTCTGCCCCCCTGTGTTGGTCATCATACTCTTTGTCCTAGGGGCACATAGCTTGTGAAGCTGCCATCCACACCCCCAAGCCCAGCATGTTCTGGAAACAGACACAACTCCAACACTCCACTGGGTCAGACAGTGACGTGGGGAGGACTGGAGTCTCTTCAGAAGGCCCAGCATTCAGAGCGCTCTTGTTCATTCAAATGGCCGAGGTCGGCAGTTGGCAGCAGTTGAATGGATGATGTTTTAGGAGAAAACAGACTTAAAAGGGAAACTGGCAAACTGAAGGTTGGAGACCTGGATTCTGCATCCCTGAAACGCCTGTCCTCCTCTCCGGAGTTTCACTCTTTCTCCTGATGGCCAACACCATCTCCTCTTGGGGTCAGCTCCCATAGCCTGCGGGCCTGTGGTGTGTGCGCGCGTGCAGAGTTAACTGACGTACCAGCCACCGCTGTGGGGAAGACACGTCCCACACAAGCATATTTTCTGAGGTTTATACCTTTTCCTGTTCCATATACCCTTGGTTTCTTAAACAGAGCATATAAACCGTACGTCTCTATGACGAGAACTTTTCCGGTTCAGAAGCTGCAGCCTCAGTGTGAAGTGGCCCACATTCGGCAGAGTGTATGCATGCATTTGTGCATGTGTGTAAGCAAGCATGATCAAAATGTGACATCCTGGGGAACTCCTCCTAACGGTAACGTAATCAGTGGGGAGAAAGAGACAAGAAAAATGACTGCCACACAGACCATAAAAGCAAAGTCAAACTTAGTATAGTAAATCAAAAGGTCCCAAAGTCAATTAAACTTCTTTTGGGCCAGTGCAATGGCTGTGTCTTAAGTAAAGGATCATTTCTGGGCCTTCCCTTGTTGATTACTCAAAGGCAGGTCCTACACCTCTGTCTGTCTCCGTGCCCTAACGGGCTGCCGAAGACCTGAACCCAAGCACTGAGTGCCGGAGCCCGCATGCCCTCTCCCCGGTAGCCGGGTAGTCAGTGCCCTCCGAACCAGTGAGCACAGGGGAAGAGGCAGAGCCTCTGCTTCCCTGTATGCAGCTGCATACCCCGGCTGGGCTTTGATCTGTGTTCTAGCAGGGACGCATAGCACAGCCTTGTGTGCGGCTCCAGGCCAGCGTGACCCAGCCACGTGCCTGTGGCCCCAGGTTAGTGTGACCCGGCCGTGTGCTTGTGCATCCCTATGGCAGGCCTGCCCGTGCTCTGTTGTCCGGCTTCACGCCCTCAGCAGCCTTGGTGCTGGGCCAGACTCGGCATTTCTGCTCCGCGCCGCAGACAGCATATTGGATTGTCAGAGAAGTCACGACGCACTTTTTCTATACAAAAACGCGCTGTGACATTTCTGACCACCCATACTTGGAGCCAGCTGTTCTGCCGTCTCAGCTCTAAATTGATATAGAATCACGTGTTGACGTTTCCTCGTATTTATTAGTGTTTTTTTTTTTTTAGTTTTGTTTTGTTTTGAGCTGTCCACATGCACTGGTGGGAGAGCGATGGAGAGAGAGGGCAAATGAGAAATCACTCCCCCGGGGCGATGGCCATGTGACAATCCCTTCTCCTCCATTCTCCTCGTAGTATTTTGGGCACACACACCAGCGTGTATTTCAGCCCACCAGATCCGAGACTTGAACCATGGAGCTGGCCATGCAGGGTTCAGCACTTTCACCACCACACCAGCTGCCGACCCTGTTCCTCTTATTTAATGCTAATTGCACTAAAGTAAGAAACTGTGGTGGGAAAAAGGTTTCTTTAAGGGTTATTTAAAGGGATGGATTCTTTTATGGATAAGCCATGCCCAGGGTCCCAAGATGGCCAACCTGCTTGCCCAGGAAAGAATGGGGCAGAGACGAGCAAGCGGCCGCGCCCCAGGGTGCGAGAGCAGACCCCAGCCCAGGTGCGCAAACGCGGGCGGCTTTCCTGTCCCTGCCTATGCCTATGGCTTTGTTCCTGCCATTGGGTTCAGTGTCAGTAATTACTGGGTTTCTGAATATTTATCAGCACAGAGTGAGCTGTGGAGGCACAGAGCTCCCCTGGAAACTCTTCCAGAGCAGCGCAGTGCGGGTACTTAATCAAGTAGCATCCTGCTCGCATTCCAAACCTGCCTCCCAAGCCTCCAGAGCCAGAACGAAACCCTCTTTGTGAAATTATGTCCCTGGCAAAACTCTATTTTTGGCCGCTTGCCTTCTGACCAAAAGGACCTTGTTTCTCCTGAGGGATGTCTGAACAGCTGCCGTTGCTGCTTCTGTCAGATCTGTGGCTGTTTCATCAGTTAAGGTTGAAATGGATGAAGTGTACTAAGACGCTTTCATTCAGGTTTTAGACTTGCCCATCACACCCAAATACATTAAGAAAAATACAAGCATTCTGGGTTATTACCAGGGTGTGGAGAATGAGAATGAGTCAGTGGAATTCTTTAAAGAAGTGAGAAAATAAACTTCATTTTTTTTTAATGTTCTTTTTTTGTCAGTGGTTAAATCCACTGTGGATTAAAATACATCTTCTGTTAACGTCCTTCCACGATGTGTCCCTTACTCAGGGCCTTCGCAGAACGGAGGGCTAGGTTGCACCCTGCAGCAGCCCACTCCCGGCCCAGCCTGCAGCTGCTCGTTTCTGTCCCCACCTCTGCTGCTCATATCAGATCGCGTGTGGAAACGGCAGTGCCCAAATTCTGCTCAGTCTAAATTACAAATGATGTTACCACAAGCAGGAACCCACACTCGGTACCAGAGCAGTAGCGCAATGGCTCTCGGGCACGTTCACCATCTGCTGGAAGATTCCAGGGTGGAGCTGTCCCTGTGTGCGGAAGCCAAGGAGGGCACCAGGGGTGGTGAGCACAACGTCACACGATGGCCGCTCCTCACTCTGCATGGGTCAGAAGCAGGGCTTGGCTTCCATGTGCCCTCCCGCATTCTGGGCCGGAGTTCTTGCTCAGTGTTCAGCCTGATTGCTGGGCCGGTCTGCCCCACTCCCTTTCCTACCTGGCTCTGGAGGCACCGAGGTGCCGGGAGTAGAAATGGCCCTGTCCCGAAACAAGGCCTGCAGCTGGGCTGGTGGGGCCTCTAGAACCGTGGAGGGCCTGACCTCGTCCCATACCGGCTTCCAGTGAGGTGACCTTGTAGCTCACTCTTACGTGTGGGGTGGGCCACTGAGCAGACCGAGCATCGTGCTCTGTGGGCATGGCCCACCATCTTTGGCGTACTCACCAGCCTCCGTTGAAGCACCCATGCGTGTGCACACCCCCGTTGTTCAGCGTTATGTGACTCTGGCCCTGCAGGGCTTCTCCTGGCCTATCTCTGTCATTCCCTCGCTGCACTTCAGAACACCCCATTACTTGGGCCCATGTGGGCCCCGGAGTCTCAAATGCAAAGAACTATCCCTGTTCATAGGAAAATTCTAAATCTTATTCCAGGTCTTGACTCAGACGAGGAGCTCGGGCTGCCCTGCCACCACCCGTCTTGTCTAGGTGACTGTCTGGGCCAGTCGTTGGCCTCGACCCCGTCCTTCCTCTGTAGAGTCCCCGTGTCTGCACGTCTGCATGGTCACCAGGGTGTGGGGTGCGAGGGGATGTGTGCTCTGGCCACTGTGCCTCCAGAATGTCTGGGTGCAGAGCGAGCTGGAGGAGAGGACCTGTCCAGCGCTGAGTCATCCTCCGACTGCTCGCTCTGCACGGCCGGCGGCTTTGGCATCTCTTGGGAGGTGGAAAGCAGAAAGCAAAGTGGCTCCAGCAAATCCAGGATCTGCTGGTCGTCCCCGGGGCCGGCATGTGTGGCTGCCCTAAGCCTGGTGGGGGGGC